CAGATTCCAGTAGCCAGGAGGGTGGAGGGGGGGGGGGTCTGTAGCGTTTTTGTATTGGTGGGGGGGGGGGGCTGCAGCAGGCCGAAGGCAGGACTTTGTTTTTGTTTGGTGTCTGACAGCCAAATCAATTCTGCTTTAGGAGACTCTTGAGCCATGTGGATTAGCCCTGACAGCCCTCCCCCCCCAAAAAAACTCCCCTTCTTGTTCTTCTTGTCTAAGTGTGAATGGGACCTATTGTGTGAGGCACACTCCCGCCCCCCAGTGCACCCCCGCACTGCTACTTTCAGATACACGGACTCCCTCCTGCCTGCCAGTCGGCCCAGGTCACCGCTGCAGAGAGTAGCTGCTGAGCTGGAGTGCAGCTCCTGTCCACGGCGCTTCCTCTCCAAGAGCACGTGGCTGAGTCCCGCCGCCGGGGACATGGACTCGCCACGGAAGCCAGAACCATCAGCCCTGGAGGGGCCCAGACCCGATATGGACCTGGTGCGGCACAAGCCCAAGCGGGGCTACACGCACCAGCAGATCCTGGCCCTCACACTGGGGCTGAAGCTGGGTAGCCACTCGTTACTCTGGAAGCCATTCAAGATCCTCGCCTGCCCCAAGCTCACCTCGCCCCTGGAGAAGCGGCGCTCACTGGCGGAGAACGAGAGGAGCCGTGCCTACGAGAAGGGCCATAATTTCAAGGTAAACTGCAGTTTTTTTTAAAGGAAAGTCATCTGGTCCGTGTTGTGAACACTACCTGCTCCCAGGCCTGCACTGTACTATGATTCATTCTCCAGCCAAGTACTTTGAATGACATCTGAGTACTATGAGTAGTTTTGAGCCTTGTTGAGCCTTGAGTACTCACTCTTAGGGCCTGGGGTGAAGGCTTCTCTGTTCCTTGGTACTTGGGTGGGCCTATCAGGAATTTGTCGTGGGTTCCGCGTTTTAGGACAGAGGAGGGAGTTGCTGGTAAACGTTGCTTTGGTTACTGGGCCCCCTAAGCATGACGACTAACTGTCGCAGATTTCGGTGTCACTGCGGCGGTAGGTATTCATCAGGATTTACCTTTCATGGAAGGAGACGCGCCGATGACCTCCACACAGCCGTCTTTATTTTACGGCGAGTGACGGGCGTCTCTGATGGGATCAGCTGTTGCAAAAGGCTTGCCCTCCCTGCCCCCCACCACCCCCGCATGTTAATGCGTGTTTTCTACGTGAGCGGTGGTACCGGCATCCTCATACTCCCTCCCGCTCTCCTCCACGCATTCTTTCCATTGTTCCTCCTGGGTTTCGGTGACATCCGCGTCGCAGTCTCACCGTTTACGGAAGGAAGGCAGTGTTTCGCCGGGGCCTCCTGCACTAGCTTTTCTGATTTGCTCTGTTTACATTTCAGCGCCGTTTTCGGAGGCCGCAGGTCGGCTCGTGTCTGGTCATGTCCCTGGCGGCGTGACCTGCAGGGAGAATCCCTGAAGGTGACACGATCCGTGCGGGCGGAGAGTGGGCCCCTGTCCACGTTTTTTTTTTGCCCATTAAAAGTGATTAGTGGTGATGTGTTATTCAGACAATAAGTAAATAAGAAAGTGTAGCTGGGTCTAACATTGTTACCACATCATTACAACATCATCACAACATAAGCCCATTGTTCTGTGTCTGAGCTTGTCCACAAACCTTTGTTTGTGTGCGATAACAGAAACTAACTTTTCAACACTACCTCACAGAATTCTCTAAATCCTGTAATTTGTCTAATTCGCGAATGTTTTTATAGTGCAAAGTCCCTGCTGACCTATCGCACACCTACGAACCATAAAACTCGCTTCACTGACAAGGTTTTTCGTTCCCAGCCTGGGAAAATGCCACCTTTGTTGGTACATCGACTGACAACACCCACATACACGGACTCCCACACTAGCAAAACAACACAGCCATCATTACATTTACCAGCAGATTTTCTTTTTTTTTTCCCAGGCTCAAGCCGAAACACAAAGCACCCCTCTGACAATTCATGCTTTAACGTGTGTAAACCACTCCTCAGCCTACTTGCATACCAGTACAAAACCCATTTGTGAGCCTCTTGTCAATCACGGATGTGCTTATCTTTACCAGGACATGTGATGCAATGAATGTTGAAATAGTTGCACTGAAGGGGATACAATTAAAAGGAGAATCTTTATTTTTTTACGGGTTGGACAGCAGTCGTAACTGTGTTAGGGTCCTGCTTTTTCAGTCATTTGATTCTGTTCATTGTAAAAGTAATTCAGTATTTCCTGGGAAAGGGTAAGTACTCAGAAATCTGTTGTGCCACTGTGGAGAGCTGGAATAGTAAGTTTTCTTGGATCTGAGGTGGACATTTTCTCTCCCACTCAGCTGGGTTCTGCAGCGTGTTTATCATGGAAGACACTGACCAAGTGTCTTGATGGCTGATTGACTTGGTTAATGATCGCATATTTCCTGTGTTACAGGTACACACAGATTGAGTTGGTTAATGATTGCATGTTTTCCTGTGTTACAGGTACACACAGATTGAGTTGGTTAATGATTGCATGTTTTCCTGTGTTACAGGTACA